GTTGGGTTCAATCTTTTCGTCGACGTCCCAGCATAAATTCGATATCTCATGCATTGCATGGGCTTTGTAGGAGATATAAATTATTGCAACGGAACAATTCGAACGATTCTTACGCTTCACTGTCCCCATTGCAACGGAGCGATTCTAACGCTTCATTGTCCCCATTGTCCCCATTGCAACGGAGCAATTCTAATGTTTCATTGTCGAGTATACTTCCAGAAAATAGTATGTTAACATTTATTAAATTTCACTGAACATTTGATGGATTAGCTATACTGATAATGATTATTCTTTATTTAGACAAATTTGATTTTAAAGCCCAGATCAGTGAGGATGAGCCTGTCAGACCACATACTTTGCCAGCTTGGAGAGATGTCATTATGGCCTTTACTAAAAATAATTACGAAAAGGCAATAGAGGGATTAGAACTATACGCTCAAAGTGACGCTAAAGAGGCATATTTAGCCAAATATTATGCTGGCAAACTGCTATACGAAGGACATCTTGGTGTGCCCAAAGACGAATTCAAGGCTTTGATTTACTTGCGTGAAGCAGCAGACCATTTATCAGCTAGCAGTTATAATAATTATACCCCCATGGCTCAATATTTATATGCGGATGTATGCCTCAAGGGTGGACTATATGATCGGGAAAATGGTATAAGGTATTTGGAGATGGCCGTACGAGCATCAGAGAAGGACGCATTGTTTTTGTATGGTACTATTCTATGGAACGGTGAACATGGATTACAGATTAATAGTGCTAAGGCTAAAGAAATGTTTAAATTATCAAAGAGTCGTGGCAATGAAAAAGCGGATGAAATGTTAAAAAGAATTGAGGAAAATTAGGAGGTGAATAGCGTCGTTGGATAAACAATCGTACTTTTTCGTATAAATTATCTTCAATTTTGGATAGATGTACAGAGACCTCCCTAAATGCACCCTCTATAATGCACACCCTTCCTAAATGCACATTATGGCTCAGTCACAAACTTATAAGACCTCTAGTTATTTACTCTCTAAATGCATACCCTCTCTAAATGCACACACAGTTTTTTAATATGGTCCCAAGGGGGTGCACTTGGAGAGGTTTTTATTAAATCACGTGTCTCTTAAATCGGGGACAAAAATGTAAAAATGTGTATTAGTTTTAATAGCGATAGTTTCTTATAAATCAAAATTTTATATTGTAAACTATTTTCGTTGAGCTAAACATTATAAAACTAAGTCATAATTCAGATCAAAATAAACAATTTGAAATTTTATTATGAATTAATGAAAACAATTTGTTAGTAAGAACAAAAAAATTGTTATGAATTATATGTATAAAAAAATTCAAAGAATTATTTTTGGGCTTATACTAAAGTTTTATTTAATAACAATTAATTCTTGAATTTATCATAAAACTTATTATAAAAAGTTATTTTAATATATATATTGATTAATTCTATAAATTATATTTATATAAAACTCAATTTTATTATTACTTTTTGAAAAGCCATTAATAAATAAATAAAATTAAAATTAAGTATATATTTATAATATATATACATTATTTAGTTTAATAATAATTGATTCTAATAATTTTAGCAATTAATATATATTATTACTATTTTATTGGTTTTATAATTCATGAATATATAATATATAAAATATAATTTGGTACAAAAATATAAATATATTAATTTGTTATTAATAAAAAATTTTTATTTTAAAATTTTAATTTTTTATCAAACATAATATTTAGATTATAATTAATATATTTTTATAATTTATTATATATAAAAACTTTTATTAATTGATAACTTTAATTTAAATTTTTTATATAGTAATTTATAATTATTTTTTATAAATTTTATATACAGTCAAATCCCTCTATAGTTACATCCATTTATAGTTATATCTCTTTATAGTCACCTTAGTTTGCTTTCCTATTTATATATAAATATAGTAAAAAAATCTCTCTATAGTTACATCCCCTCTATAGTCATCAAATTTTGTTTTTCTGAGGATAGTGATTATAAAGAAATTTGACTATAGTAAAAAAATCAAAATTTTAAACTTTGAAACTTAATTTTTCAACAACTAGTAATTCAATTTTGTTAAAATTTAAAATATATATTTATTATATATAATAGTTTTCAAAATTATAAAATCATATATGTGATTTATTAAGTTTTATTTTATATAAAAGTTTTTAATTTTATTAATAAATATATTTTATTTTAATTACAAAAGTTTTATTTAAGAACTAATTAAATTGTTCAATTTTTAATTGAGTAATTTAATTAATTTTTAAGCAAAATTTATTTGATTTGATAATATTATATATTTTATTTTTAAATATAAATAATTAAAAATAGTTAATACTATTATCAAAAATAAATAATATATATTTATTTTGTTAAATAGTTAAAATAAACTTATAAATTTTTTTGACAAAACTAAATATAATTATAACTTTATAAAATAATTTATTTTATTAAATTAATTTAATATAACTTCATAATTAAAATAAAAAATTATTAATAAACTAACAAATATAACTTTATAATTAAGATAAAAAATTATTAATAAACTAATAAATATAATTTTGTAATTAAAACAAAAAGTTTTAAATAAATTAACAAATATAATTTTATAATTAAAATAAAAATCATCAAAAAATTATATAAAATTATAAATAAAATAAAAATTAAATTGAAATAACAAAAGAAATTAAGTTAATATTATTATATTTATTTACTAATTTTTAAAAAGCTTAACTATTAAAAAACTTGATTAAAAAGCTTAATAATTTTTTAAGTTAAAATCTATAATTGTTTATAAATAATTATTAAATATTAAACTACTAATAAAATAATAATAAAATTAATTTTCCAATTAAATTTCAAATTTAAATTCAAATAAATATTTGAATAAATATTTAAATAAATTTTTAAATAAATTTTGAATAACTAATAAAATATAAAATATAATTATTTAATAAGAATATTATTTAACAAAATAAAAAATATAATTATTTAATAAAATTTTGATAATTTGAAATATTAAAATTTAATTTATAATATAATCTTTACTAATAAAATTTTATTTTGTAAATAATAAGATAAAATAAAATAAAATAAAATATAAATATAATATAAAAAACTAAAATAATATAAAAATACAAGAAATTTTAAATTGTTTTATAGTATAATATTTTTAATTTTTTGTTATTAATTAATACCAATTATTTTTTTGTATATATTTAAAAGTTTATATTAATAAAAATATTATTTAAAAAGAAAAATTTTATAAAAATATATTAATTTAAATAATTATTTTTCTTTATATTAATAATAAAAAGTTATTTTTATTTTAAATATATTGAATATTGTCATGATATGATATTTGATGAACAATCTTATTGGATAAGATTTATATTAATTATTATTGGATTATATATATTAGTATTTCTATTGGATAG